GACAAAACTAAAGGCCCCAACATGGTAATTACGTTTCTGGGTATTACATTCAATTCCGTTTCTATGCAAGGCAGCCTGCCTCAAGAGAAAGTAGACTGTATACTTTCTTGCACGTCACAAGGCACTAGCACAAGGAAACAACTACAGTCATTACTCAGTTCACTAAATTTTGCTATGAGAATAATTCCTCAGGGTAGGTCTTTCATTTCCAGAATCCTCTCAATATTGCACGGCCTCCCCGACGACGACTCCACTACTTCCCTAAATGAATCAGCTAGAGCTGATCTACAAATGTGGCAGCTATTCCTATCATCTTGGAATGGCAGGTCGCTATTTGTTCCACCCATATCTGACGATTCCCCTGTAATTTGGACCGATGCTTCAGGTACATTAGGGTATGCAGCCATTTTCGGTGACGAGTGGCTATATGACTCTTGGCCAGTTGAGACCACCTCACTCATAAATTTCAATACCACCTCAGCTCTATTTGAAATTTATCCTATAGTAGCAGCTGCACACATCTGGGGTAAAGAATGGAGTGGACAGTCAGTCAGATGCTTTTCAGATAACATAGCTACCTATAATATAGTTAACAAAGGCCGCTCTCAGTCCCTAACAATTATGGAATATATTCAAAGCTTGGACTTGTCACCAGTGGGGTACCTCAGGGATCTGTACTTGGACCCATTCTCTTTAATATTTTTATTAGTGATATTGCAGAAGGTCTTGATGGTAAGGTATGTCTTTTTGCTGATGATACTAAGATATGTAACAGGGTTGATGTTCCAGGAGGGATAAGCCAAATGACAAATGATTTAGGTAAACTAGAAAATGGTCAGAATTGTGGCAACTGACATTTAATGTGGATAAGTGCAAGATAATGCATCTTGGACGTAAAAACCCAAGGGCAGAGTACAGAATATTTGATAGAGTTCTAACCTCAACATATGAGGAAAGGGATTTAGGGGTGATTATTTCTGATGACTTAAAGGTAGGCAGACAATGTAATAGAGCAGCAGGAAATGCTAGCAGAATGCTTGGTTGTATAGGGAGAGGTATTAGCAGTAGAAAGAGGGAAGTGCTCATGCCATTGTACAGAACACTGGTGAGACCTCACTTGGAGTATTGTACACAGTACTGGAGACCGTATCTTCAGAAGGATATTGATACTTTAGAGAGAGTTCAGAGAAGGGCTACTAAACTGGTTCATGGATTGCAGGATAAAACTTACCAGGAAAGGTTAAAGGATCTTAACATGTATAGCTTGGAGGAAAGACGAGACAGGGGGGATATGATAGAAACATTTAAATATATAAAGGGAATCAACACAGTAAAGGAGGAGACTATATTTAAAAGAAGAAAAACTACCACAACAAGAGGACATAGTCTTAAATTAGAGGGACAAAGGTTTAAAAATAATATCAGGAAGTATTACTTTACTGAGAGGGTAGTGGATGCATGGAATAGCCTTCCAGCTGAAGTGGTAGAGGTTAACACAGTAAAGGAGTTTAAGCATGCATGGGATAGGCATAAGGCTATCCTAACCATAAGATAAGGCTAGGGAATAATGAAAGTTTTTAGAAAATTGGGCAGACTAGATGGGCCGAATGGTTCTTATCTGCCGTCACATTCTATGTTTCTATGTTTCTATGTAACTTAATAAGAAAACTGACCTGGCTAGTGGCTAATCTGCAATTCTGCATAACATGTTTTCACGTTCCGGGTGTTCAAAATAACGCTGCTGATGCTCTCTCATGCTTGAATTTGCAGGAATTTTTCAGGTTTCACCCATCAGCAAACCCACAACCCAGGGAATCTCCAAACTTCACATAACTAATTATGCTTTAAGTTCTCTATTACAACATAGTAGATCTCTTGCACAAGCGGGCTTGTCCACTAATAAAAGGAAAGCCTACTCCAGAGCATACAAAGTTGTTTAAAAGTTTTGTTTGTGATTATCATATAATAAATGTTTTTTCTGTTGAAAATGTTGTTGCATTCACAACTTTTTGCCATATTTCTCTTAATTTAGCCTACAAAACAATCAAACTCTACTTAACGGGCATACAACACTACATGTTGACCAGCTATCCCAACAAAACTCCATTCCTAACATCCTACCGAGTAAAAAGTGTCCAAAGAGGTGTTCACAGATTATCAGCACACAATCCCATCAAAAGACTTCCCATAGAAAGTAAACTCTTTAAAAGCATCTCCGATATCCTCGACATGTCCCTTTTTGAACACACCAAAAACCTAATTATAAAATCCGCAGCTTACTTAGCCTTCTATGATTTTTTTGAGACCCAAAGAATTTTCAGTGGAGAAAGCAACCGATTCTAAACTTTGCCTCCAAAAGAAACACCTAAACAAAAGACAAGACCACTACATCTTATCTATTACCCATACCAAAACAAGCCAAACAGGTCCTCCAGTAGAAATTAAATACTATCCTACCTCCACTAAATGGTGTCCTATCCTAGTTTTAGATAAACTATTGGTGTCCCATATCACTTCCAAACCGGATTTTCCACTGTTAGCTATTCAAGGGAAACCCCTAACCACTAAACAATTTATTTATTACATTTGTACATTATTGCTCCGGCTAGGACATAACCCACATGCATTCACGGGCCATTCCTTTTGCATTGTGGCAGCTTCAGCTGCCTCAGGTAACCATGTACCAACCCACATCATCAAAAACATAGGAAGATGGAAATTATCCGCATACAATAGGTACATTCCTAACCCTGAAAAAGAAATAAGAATGGCTTTCCATGACATGTCTAAATAATGTTTGTACTTAAATAAACTTATATGTATTTTGAGAAATTGCTTCTTATAATTTTGCCCACTTTTACAGGCCTAACCTCACATCAGTTTCGGCACACCTCAACTGACTTTGCTATTACTAATACTGCTTCTTTTATTATCATTGCCTTACGTCCTCGTACACAAATAGAAGGCTTGGCCTGTAATTGTGGGAGGTGCATTATTCCCTATTTAAAGCGCAGAAAGGTCAGCTTACCTGTCATCGACGTTCCCGGAAGTGCCCCTTCCACCGCACCCTCAATTCATTAACATTTCACCTACGTGGACCCACTTTTACAGGCCTAACCTCACGTCAGTTTCGGCACACCTCAACTGACTTTGCTATTACTAATACTGCTTCTTTTCTTATCATTGCTTACGTCCTCGTAATGTCCCGTACACAAATATATATATATATATATATATATATATATATATATATATTGGCTTGTATGATATTCAGGTTCCATTAAATGCTACTCAGACATAGTTACTTTACAGTGCACTTTAAAAACAAAAACATTGCATGAACAACAAAAAAGGAGTATACAAACCATTTAAATGATACCCAGAACAAACACAAGGACCCTGTACACAAAGTACTGACATTCACTAAAAAAAGTGACACTTGTAAAAATAAACAAACTTCAGTTATCTTCAATATATCCTTAAAAATACAATAAAAAGACACATAGAGTAGTATGATCGGGAAATGTTATAAATAAGTGCTCTTTCCATTAGAAATGCATTTGCATGTACTTACTCCTCTAAGTAAACAAGGACACAGCTGCGTGGTGATGTCCCCAAGTGACAGTTCTATAAAATTATATCTAAAAATATCATTTCAGTTTCTTTACAAAACTATGAGATATAGTGTATAAAAAATAAATAAGAAAAATTACAGGATGAATCAAAACAATGCTAGAACACACAACTGAAAAATAATGATGAATGAAATAAAACGAAAATAAAGTAGGGATTCCTTTTCACAGATGTCAACCCGCAAACAATTATGACATTTCAAGATCATTTATGGAATTTACAAAAAAAAAAATAATCTCAAGGAAAATGAAATTGATGCTTTATACTGGACCTGACCTGCAAATATTCAATCACCTGTTGACTCCTCAAAATCCAGTAATATGTTCTGTATCTAGTTTATAAGCCTACTACTAGTTCAAATGTTACCTTGTACTTCATGCCTGAAGGAATGGATTATTGGATTACATTAATGTATAGTTTAGGATAAAACAATGTTTTATTCATCTCTACTAAAAAAAACATATTTTTAGTTTGAAAGTCTATTAGCGTAACATGTATCTGACATATGGAATGCATAGCTAGTATATAAATAAATAATAAAATAGCAAGTTTGGGTGATCAGAGGCTTTGCTGACTAAATTTAGTTTTGCAATGTAAATAAGAGTAAAAACATGATTACTCGATTCTTGGAGTAAATTAATTAAAGTTCTTATTCTTCAAGAAAATAAAATTGTCACAATTTTATATTCACTATTTCATTGTTTAGGATTCTAATAAAACTTGAAATGTTTGAAAACCTTATTAAAGTCCTTATTCTTCAGGGTGTAAATAAGAGGATTCAGCATCGGAATAAGTATAATATATAAAAGGGCAAAAAACTTGTCCTGTCCTGGAGAATACGTAGATGTTGGTCTCATATACAAACAGATGATTGTTCCATAAAAGATGATAACACAGGTCATGTGGGAGGCGCAGGTTGAAAAAGTTTTATGTCGACCAACAGCTGACTGAATATTTAGGATGGCGGTGATAATAAAGACATATGATACCAAAATTAATAAAAATCCACTGATAAGCACAAGAACCCCATTAATATAGTTACATAACTCAATAGTAAATGTGTCACTACAGGTAAGTTTAAGCAATGGGGTTATATCGCAGAAAAAGTGGTCTATTTGATGAGAGCGACAGTATGATAAGTTAGCAATTAAAATAGCATGTAGAACAGGATCAAATAAACCCATGACCCAAACTGAAAGTACTATTCGAGCACAGTGCTTTGGACTCATAAGAATTGAGTAATGAAGAGGGTGGCAGATTGCTACATAGCGATCATAAGCCATAGCAGCCAGTAATAAGACTTCTGTACAAGCAAAGCCCATGAAAAAATACACCTGAATAAAGCATTCTAGAAAGGATATGGTCTTACACTGAGTGAGGAGAATGACCAACAGTTTGGGTAGAATGGTCGAGGTGTATGAGATATCAATGATTGATAGGTTACACAAGAAGATGTACATGGGTGTGTGTAAATGAGAGTACAAAACTATAGATACAAAAATTACAAGATTACTGAAGACAATGGTGAGATACACAAATAAAAATGTTATAAATAGAGGAAACTGAAATTGTGGCAAGTCTGAAAAACCTTGTACAGTGAATTCAGTTAGACTGGATTCATTTTCTGACATAATTTTTAATCTTCTTGTCTACAAAGCAAGACACAGTTTCATGGTACTTACTTTTCAACACATGGCTTCTCCATTTTGGCTTTATTTTTTATTTTGGCATTTTGGCTTTATTTTTGTGAAGTCATGACGATGTGTAACAGGTCATGTGCTGTTGTTCATTTGAGGTTTTATTTACCTAATTTTAAAACCTGCTAAAGAACAGATGATTATTATTATGTCCTGATATGAAAAACCATAGAATTCAGAGGGTGTATACATACACATTTATATACACATGACCAATCATACAAATCAACAATTTGTGCTTGCAATGTTTAATCCCAAAGTCTGTGCTCCAGTGCCAGATCGCTCTGCCCCCAGTTTTCTTTTCCAAAATTCTTTATAACGGAAGGCTTGGGCAGCATTTGGCAGGGGCTCCGTGGATTGGCTTAGGTGGTCAGCTGAAGTTCTAACCCAATCGGTAGCTCCCCCATTCACAGAAGAGGCTTAAAAAATACATGTACATTATATTGTTAATTGTTTAATATAATTCTTCTGATCTAATAATGACTTTCTGTCTTTTAATTTAGCCAAATCATAACCTCTACTTATTACATTGATGGATTACCTTCTTTGGAAGAGATATTAATAGATAAACTCCATAGAAAAACAATTCCATACATAAAAAATATCAATATATAAAAAATAAAATATATTAAGCAATTACATTTTTAAAAGTTTATCCAAAAATATTAAATCACTGAAAAAGCTTAACCAAACTATTACATCAAGGCTAATGTTGGACCGGGCAAAGCTACGGACGTAAAATTTTTCCAGTATAGCTAATCAGGTTACATGATGAATGATTATTGGTTATCAGCTCAACAGTTTTCAGTGCAGACCTTGGGTCCAGCAAAAAAAGTATCAGATTAAATCTATAATTACTTCTTGATGAATATGTTTGTCATCTCTACTATTTCAGCCTTAATTCGAGGCAAGGCAGTTGCCTAATCATGATACTGAAGAAACTCGTTAGAACTGTGTGTAACAGCCTATATACACTGATCAGCAACAACATTAAAACCACTTGCATAATATTGTGTAAGTCCCCCTTGTGGTGCCAAAACACATATCAGCTCCAGCCCATACCGCAGATGCGTTTGGTTGTACTAACCTCTGCATATTGGGAACACCCCACTAGACTTGCCATTTTGGAGATACTCTGACCCAGTCGTCTAGCCATCATTATTTGGTCCTTGTCAAAGTAACTCAGATCTTTTCGCTTGCCCATTTTGCTCCTGCTTCTAACACATGAAATTCAAGGACTGACTGTTCACTTGGTGCCTAATGTATACCATTCCTTGACAGGTGCCATTGTAATGAAATAATCAATGTTATACACTTCACCTGTCGGTGGTTTTAATGGTGTGGCTGATCAGAATAATAAGTCTACTTAAAGAAATGTTTTAACTTAGTTCATTTGACCTAAATTTTACAACTGCATTGGCACAGAAGACAACTATGTTAATCATGAAATTAACTTATTAACAGAAAATGAAGCTAATTAAACAGCTAGTGAGAGGATCTATATGATGTAAATGAAGTATATAATCTAATAAAGTATGATTGTGAGGCTTGCTATAGTGTCTATCTCCTATTTATTTTATGACAATTCATTGTCAATTCTACAGTTACTATATATTTGAGAGAAAAGTTAGTAAATTGTACAAACACAAACTACTCATTAATTTTGTTGAAATAAAATAGTTACAATACATAAAATGTAGTCAGTACTTACAAAGCGAATAAGTGTCTCCGTAATTCGTAAATATGAATATTGTTAAAACTCTCAGTATAAAGGTTCTGCAGATGATTTTATTAAAGGACACGGAGGCTCATATTATGCTTATCTCTTTCTTTATTATACCTCAGCAGCAAAGAGAAGGTATAAACATTCATAGAAAAAAGTTTTAACAGGTTCTCC